CCGTGAATTAAGGACCCTGAAAAATATTGATATTTTTGAGGGCGACTGGTGAAGGGTGCCATTTCGTATGGTCTAATTTCAAATAGCGTGATTTTTTTTTTTTCCAGAAATCAAATGGGGGGGGGGGGGGGGGGGGGGGGCTAAATCTGGGGTCTTTCGATATATTTTAAAGCAGATCTACATTATACAAATGTACAAAAGATACCTTATTTATAATGGTTTATTCCTAAATTTTTCATATGTTCTTCTGTGAAGATTGCCTATACATAGAATACAAAGTTTATTTTAAAAAAAAAGTTGGTAATTTTCTTTAAATGAGATATATAAATATACACCATAAACCTGACTTTTTTTACACTTATTAGACAAAGTGAGTGTCCCAGTAGCAGACTGCAAGACGGAGGAATATGGGTCTCACTGCAAGCAAAATATGGACCTCAAGGATTACCTGACTTACTGGGAGAAATACATTGATAGTGGTTATCCTGTTGACATGCAGAGTCTGTACTTAAAGGACTGGCATTTCACAAGGTAATTGTTTGTTTTTTTTTGAAAAGCAAAACTTTGATAGCTCTTATTAGTATAGAAAGCTCACAGCAGATTAGGACAGTGTAAATATATTATGATAAATCTTTTGCTAATTATTGTCCCGTTTTTGTAGTAGGTGCTTTACTTTTAAAAACCCAAATAGATGTTTGCAGGTTTTCCTTTTCGGCAGATTAAAAATAATATTGTGCACATCTTGAAAGTTGTAATTTGGTTAACCTGGTTAATTTTTAGTGTAATCATATTAAAATTGACAGTAAAGTCAGCTTAAAATTTTGCTTGTATTATATGCAATTAATTTTTCAGAGATTTTCAAGACTACAATGCGTACATAACTCCTGAGTATTTCCAGTCTGACTGGATGAATGAATACTGGGACACAAGGCCAGACCTCAAGGATGATTACAGATTTGTTTACATGGGAGCTAAAGGAACATGGTACTTTATCAAGGTTAATTAATGCAGGGAATTAAATGTTCTGTACCTTTTTTCAGTGCAAAAATTAGATGTGAAAACATACAAAGAAATAATTAACAAGCTTCACTCACAGATTCACACTTTTATTTAATTACTTGAGATGTAAGCCATAGAACTGTACTGTTACAATAACATAGATAGTTACACAAATTCACCATTTTTTATTAAAAGCATCCATTTTCAAAGTGAATTTGTGTACAGTGCTAGCTAAATTGGACTCTGATAAAACTATAAATTATACCTACTTTTCCAGATAAGTAGCTCATCATTCTGTGCATAGCCATCTTACATTTTTCTTGTATTTGTAATATATATATATATATTTTTTAAATCTTTTTTTAAACATTTTAGGACACCTTTCCATGCTGATGTGTTTAGATCATACAGTTGGTCAGCAAATGTCTGTGGCAGAAAGAAATGGTTACTTTACCCACCAGGCAAGTGATTGGGATTCAGAAGTACATGTACCTGTTACTCAAGGTCAATAATGCCTTGTGCAAAATGTGGTCTACAAATTGCAATAACCTTAACTTTTTGTTATCTCCCAAATTTTCTTTGCCTTGTTACCACTCCAGCAAATGAATTTTACTTTTACCTGATTAATTAAGAAATTATGATCATATTTTTTGTCACCAGGTGAAGAAGAATGTTTTACCAACAGATTTGGGAAGTTAGTGTTTGATGTCTGTTCACCAGAACTTGATGACGTGACAAGTTTTCCAAAATATCGCAATTTACAAAGACAATATACAATAATACAGGAAGCTGGACAGGTTATCTTTGTTCCCAGTGGGTGGCATCATCAAGTTTGGAACCTGGTATAACCATTTTGTTTTTTACTCTATGACAGAATGTGTTGTAGGTACTTTCTATTAAATTTGTACTACTTGTGTAGGTTCAACTCTGTAGGGCATTATGGTTAAATGCAATCTGTGAAATCAGCTTAATTGTCTGACACGCCTCCTAGGGAAGCTAAGAGTAATTAAGCCAACTAGTAAGATGGGTCTATCTGAATTCTCCCTAAAATTTTATATCGTGCCTCTTTAATTCCTTCCTTCAATAAATTATGAATATAAAATACAATAGTTCATTGTCATTTTCAAGAAAGAGTAAGACTATATTACAAGTTAAATGTTAAAATTTTACTTAATTAATGATGCAAATGATGTCTCAGAAGTCACTTTATTTCTTCCAGGAAGATACCATTTCTATCAATCATAACTGGCTGAATGCCTGCAATGTTGACATATGCTGGGGCTTCATAAAACAAAGCTTGGCAGAGGTGAAGAAAGAAATCAGTGACTGTAAAGACATGGAGGGGTGGGAACAACAATGCCAGGTCAGCAGACTTGGAGTTAAACCTAGACTGGCTTACAACTAGATTAAATAACAATACAAACAAAGAATCAGAAATATAACAACGTCTTTGAAAACACAATTGTCTCATTTAATAAAAAAGAGATATTTTGTGGGATTTCTTCATTTTTTTATGTGGCCATTAATATCTGAAATAGATTTGTTCAAAGAGGTCTCTTTACTTAAAAAGCTCATAGTTCAAAATCATAAGAAAGACTTAAGTTTAAAGTGTATGGTGCATGACGTGTTTTTGATTGAAACATTTCAAGATAATTTTTTTTTCTTTTCAGCTCATCCTGCATGCAAGCAGTGGAATTGATTATCCAGGATTTTTCAATTTTATGAACACAATTGCTCGACACAGGATAGAAAAATGCCAGCAACAAAATGATATTCAGAAAGAAATCTCAGTGCAATCAAGCAAAGTATTTCACTACTATTTTGACCTACAAAGAGTCAAAGAAATTCTTCAAGACATGAAACAAGATGCAGATTTTAAAGCTTTAGGGCCTGAACATCTCAGTTATGATCTGGAGGAGTTAATAGCAGAGATTACTGACACATTAAGTACCAAACACACTGAATAAACTACACAGTCCCTGTCAAAGCTTAATGAACCAGTATTTATTGAATTACAGTACAAAACCTCATTTTCAAGTATCAGATTAAAGTGCATATTTTTAATCCTCCAATTTGTCAACCTAACAGTTGATCCATTGAAAAAATTGATGCTCTAGAAATATCATTAGTCTCTTTTGAATAGAAAAAATAATTACTACATTACAGTATTTTATGACTTTAAATTTTACAGATTTACAACAAGAGGAACAGTTCCAAAACTGGTTTTATTTAGTGTATGGTGCATTTCTTTACCTGTATATTATAATTCAACTTGATATTTATTGATCAAAATAAATTTTACCTTTATTCATCTTTGCTACTGTTTACATGCTTCATATATATGGACATCTTTGTTTGAGTCATAATATATGTCATTTATATGGAAGAATTCCTTCATCATAGAGAGAAACCGAGAGTCTCTGTCATACCTTATTTTACATGATAAAAGCACCAAACAGTTTCTATTGCACAAATGCTTTAAAGTTTCCAGTAGATCTTGGAAAGTGTCTTCTATATAAATTATATCAGCACCTAGTATGACATCAAAAGGATCAGAAAACTGAAACAAGTTCTTTCCCCAGTCCAACTCTGTTACTTTTGGCACAGTTTTCAAAGATTTTATGTTCAATTCAACATTTTCTTGAATATATTCCAGTGCCATTGCTCTGTCTGTAAGTGTGAGGTGTCCGCCTGTTAAAAAGAGTTGATAAAATATCATACAAAGTAATGATAAAGATTAGTTGTTTTAGACTAGAGCACAATAGATGAAATTTTTTTGATGTAATATCCACCCTACTGAACTTAAATAATCCCATGGGTGGGGCTTTAAACAAAAGGATCATTGCACTTTGATTTTACTGACAACCTTGCCTGTATTTTGATAAGCTCCAGTGCATTCCGATTACCAAAATGACATATAAGTGCAATTATCCTATTGTTTTAAGTGCAAGCCGAAGGATAAGTAAATTACAACTATTCGCTGTCCACTGTATGCAACATACAAGAGCAACAGATGACTTTTGCTGTAAGTGGTACACATATATGGATCAAATCAAAATTAACCTTATTTTCAGTGTGTAAACAGGTGTCTTTGACTTCCAATTTCTAACCATGCAGGTACCAGTATGTGTGTGTGTCCTTTAACAAGGATTACCTAACATTGCTGCAGCAATGCCAGCTAGTCCAGTGCCAGCTCCCAGTTCTAGAACAAGCTTGCCTTTGACTACATCTGGATTTTTATCAAGATACTCAGCAAGAACAACTGCCTAAAATACACAAGAACACAGTTTATGATCATAATGTATCTACTGGTATCATGTACTGTATACAATTACCAGTATAAGTGGTTCTGACAAAACATACAAAAAATAATAAAAAAATAAAGAATTTTAAAAAACAGCTGTTTCATTTTAAGTCTCACACAAAAATTGCCATATGTATAAAAATTATTAATGTTGAAATGGGAAAAGGAAAGCACGTGTGGACTGGAGTCTGGGCTCAGCATACTAGTATTACATGTACATATTTTAATAAATAATTTTTAAAAAAATTAATAAAATAAGGCCAATTCCCCTTGAACTTCACTCCTACATAAGTATAAAAAAGCACGTCGAACTGTTTTATCAAGCTAAAGTATGTGGTCAGTGGTCACAGTTTTCACTAACCGCATCCCATACTACAGCAGCCACACCACCTTGGCTCCAATTCTGACGAATAAATAAATGCGTTTCGCCGAATTTAAATTCACGTCTATCCTTATGGAAGTGCGGTACTTTGGTTTCATCGTAAAGCATTACTGCAGTACAGCCTCCTTCTCCTCCAGCACAGGTGGAGGTATCGGTCTTTTCAAGTGACATAAGCAAAGAAATGTGTGGGATCAAAATGTCCAAAATGAACCATGCTTTCAGCATTTCAATAACAAAACAGAAGAATAGAGGGCAGCACACAATATGATATACTATTTTCGATTTTAGTTCAATAGAAAGAAATTCCAAATTTTTGACTTCATATCATAAAAACATTTATTCATTTATTTATTTATTTATTTATTTATTTATTTATTTATTTATTTTGTGTGTATTTTTTTCTATAACGAAAAATAGATTTGGGCCCTCTTGAACTAAATCTTATATTATCTCGCGCGATTAGATCGTCTCTTAGTTACACACAAACACTTGCATATACACATGTGATCGTGTGTATTTATCGAGTTGTTTATACCGCTAGACTCGACAGAGCAGCTTTGGATACAGCAGTGAGCGTTTGTTAAAAGTTAAACCGAATATTTACACATTAACAAGATGAACCAAAAACCTTCAGAGACAGGTAAATAGGTGAAATAAATGCAATACTGAGTACAAGTAAGGTCATCGAGGCAAAAATTGTGAAAACTCAAAAGATTTTTAAAGTTTTTTTTTTCGTGCACAAAAATACACGCACATAGCAGGAAGTTTAAACTTGTATAATATTCAAAATGACATTTCAGGTTGGTTTTACCATGCGCCAGCTAAAAGGCAGGTCCATCTGGAGGAAGAACTGCCTCCAGCCTCTCAGATTCCAGGACTAAGCGACCTGCCAGAGGAAGAGCAACCTCAAAAACAAATGGTTTACAGAGACTCTGACACAAAATATATCAGACTGTGCAAGCGAGGAGGTCGGGAAGATCTACTTCGTTTTAGGGATTTCAAACCAAAATCCAAAGATCCTGTGCCATACCCAAGAAATGAATGGTTTTATTGGGATAACAATGAAGAAGAAGTACCTTCACAGTAAGTTTTTAAATAAGTAAACATATATAATGAAATTATATATTTCACAATAATATGAATTTCTCCCCTACTTCAACTTCAAAACTTTCATACCTTACTGATCAAACATTTCTGTCATCATATTCAATTAATTTAGTGGTAGAATCTACAAAAATATGTTTTCTGTCAATATGAAAACCAAACTAAATGTATGTAACCATTTTGAATTTGCAGGACATTTGAGCACAAGCTCCCAGAATACATGGTCCATGAAGAGTACAAGCCAGAAGGAGACCACTATGATTATGAAAAAAATAGACCTAAGAGATTACCTTATGCATTTGATAGACTTACAGTTTATGAACGGGAGGGAGATGACAAAAGGGTGACAAATAAAAATGTCAAGATCCCCGAGGTAAAGAGACCTGGGTATGGTGTAAGGTTACAAAGAGTTGCACCTGCTGGACCAAAAACAAAAGCCGTTCACAAGAGTAAACCTAGACCAGGAGAACTAGAGCAGCATAGAAATTTTTTGCCGATGTAAGTCACAGTTTTTAAAGAACACAATTAATGAACATGCTACATGATTTGCATTGTTGTATTGTTTTTAAGTTACTTCTAAATTAATGATCATGAAGTAAAAAAAGCATTCAAATAATTTTATATACTTATGAAAATCCAGCAATTCAAAGGTATGATTTTTAGAATATAATAAATAGTAAGTTGGCTAGTATACAAATTCATAATTGATCGCCAAAGGGATTACAAATCAGAATTTAAAAATGTTTTAATAGGACCTTTTTTATAATTTTAGGCCAGACCTTGAAACAGAAAAACCACAGATGGGAAAGATTTTATCTTACACCTATAACAAGGAATGGAAAACAGAAAACATAAAGTGGCATGACAAGCAAGAAAAACTACATGGCAAAAATGCATTTCCTTCCAAACAGTCAAAAGAACCCGTCAAGTCAGAATACCAGCAGACATATAGTCAAACTGCAAAGGACTCAAAACACAAAGTAGCAAGGTAAATATTTCACTACATTACATAGAAGCTTGATCAATTAATAAAATATAATGAAACCATTTGAAATAATATATATGTGAAATGTTACAACTTATGCTTATTGCTATATTAATTTTTTTTATATTTGTGGGACCCATGATAATCAGAATCACCACTAAGCTATCATTAATGATTTTTTTCAGGAAATCAATAGAACATACTCCAAGAAGAAAAAGTGAAGATAAAGAAAAGCCTTTATTCAAGTTGACAAGGTAATACTTTGTAATTATATGCCCTTTTAGCAGTAGTTAACCAAAGGATATTTTCAAAATTATCTAAGTTTACATTAAAGAGTCATCATTTCCACTTTTATTTTCTACTCTTCCTACTTTAATATGTGATTTATGGGGATTCCGACATTTTTTATGGAAGTTGAACCTGCAATGCCCAAGTTTTAATGAATAGCAACATTCTTAAATTTCCCATTTGTTTTTATAGGTTTACTAAAGTGCCAGCAAGAACAGATAACCACTGGCATAAGACAGAACAACTACCCTCAGTGGCATGCTAAAGTGGTTATTTAATAAAAGACAAAACTATACAATTCTGCTGACCTTGTAAAATGAAGAAAAAGAAATACTCTCTCAGTTCCTGATTCCACTGATGGAAATTGGTTTACCTTATGAGGGGATTTTGCATTTACTAATATCTCCAGACTGCACCATACAGTAGGATTCTTGGACAGAGAATTTACAAGTTGACAGTATTCTTTATCTTATAAATATATAAATATATATTACTTTTGTGTACATTTTCATTATAAAAATACTTTTTGAAATTATAAGTCATAGAAAATATTACTTGTCAAAGGTGCAATTTATAATGATGCATAAAAAGTCATTGTCACGATTGTGATGTCTTCCTTTACATCATGAATAAACGTGCCAAGGTGCTACACTTTGTATTTCAAGAGTTAAATATCATTAATTTACATATAAATAGTTACATGCTGTAAACTGAGAAACATTGTTATGACTTCAAACATTTTTTTATGTTGGAGCATTCTCGATAACAGTTTATGCAACAAACTTTCAGTCCAATGTCTGTCAGAAAAAAAAAAAAAAAAAAAAAAAAAAACTTGAATAATTCAGAAAAGCTTTTAACCAACAACTGCACCAACTGTAGTTACAGCAGCTTTAACCAACACCGTGAAATATAAGATAACAGCAATGGCTCCCCCTATTGTCAAAATGATGCCTGTAATGCTGAGACCCATGGAGATTTTTCCTCTAAGTCTTGCAGAATCCATGTTGTTCTCGTCTGCTGCACATCCTGAACACAGGGAGACAATAATGGCGATGATTCCTGGAGTACAAAAAAAAAAAAAAAACAATGTTTGCTACATTTACAGTTGTGTATCAGTAAAATTTACCATATTATTTAAAATAATTGTAAACTCTAATTTTCATGGACACACTTTCTCTTTAACAGTTTCTGACAAAATGCACTGGACCTTTAATCATGAGTGATTAAAAAAACAATTTTTTACCTTCCACAAATAGATATTAAAGTGTGTTAAAAAAGACCCCCACCCCTGCCTTTGTGACATAGACTGCATTTAGGCCCTACTGAATAATCTTTAACAAAACTCTTGAGTACTATATTTCTTTGAGTTACAGCAATGAAAGATATCAGATTTAAATATCAACTCACCAATAGGCAGATTACAGCAGATTGTGACAAATATGGCCAGACCAAGATAACTGGAGGGTCTCGGTGTGCTGGTTGGGGGCTGGATGACAACTGTGTGTGAGGCTGCGGGCTGGGCCATGACCACTGTGTTTTGGGCGTGGGCGTCACTCTTTCCAGGCTGGGGATATTGGTGGCCTTGCTGGATATTCTGTGCGTATTGATGGCCATATGCTGGCGGGCCAGGGTAATGTCCGGAACCATTCATTCTGCTGTTACTTGGTATAGTCTCTACGTAGTCCTAAGCGTTGATGGAAAAATAAATGCTTTTTATTTTTTGGATTTGATGGTGTCAATTGTTTGATAAATTGTTATTATCTTACGAGTTTACAAAACATTGCATGGTAGTTTAATCGGATCCCTGCTATAAGTTTCGTTCAAGGAAAGAAATAGACTCAGGGATTGAAAAATTAAAAACCTTGAAGATCATCAATTTTATAGGCGCGTAGATCAAAAGGAAATACGGAAGTATTCTGTTACACAGTCGTATAACTCACCCAAATTTCACACACGACCCACGATCGCCTCCTTACCAGCGGTCATACGCACACAATTGTGGAGGCGCGCTTTCAATTTCACGCACCATTCAACCCAGGCCATCTCAAGTTGAAATTTTAGTGGGGTGCAGATTATAGACATAAGAGAGAAATGAAAATAAACAAAATAAGACGCAACACAATTTACCATTTTTGACAATAGAAATATTAAATATTTCATTCGCCGTGCTGCAATTATTTCGCGAAAATTTCATCGATTATTATTTAGCATTCAAAATTAGCTTCTCTGTGACGCTCAAATGTGATCTTCCAAATTGGACAAAAACTCATCAGACACAGGTAACAGTTTACACGACCAGAGTAGCTTTTCCAAGAAACGATAGCTATCAGCGAATTTATGTTTCCAAATGTTTGAGACAGACTTTATCTTGTAAAGCGTGTTTGTTACGCTTTAGATGGAATGGAAATTTAAAGTTGCCAACTGTTTTTCTTTACTTCCATTTTGTTTCAGTCAAGTTTACTTTATATTTCTTTAGAATATACTTAAACAAACAACATAAGTTCTAGTGAACCTATTTTGTCGATTTATAAGCAATAACGGAAATATAGCGATGATTTAACAAAAAAAGTGTTAACAGGACCTTTTTACACATTGGACAAATGTAATGAATGTATTTCGGTCTTTATTTAAAAACCTGACAACTCGTTCCATAATTTTTACGCATAAAAACTAAAATATTTTATGTACATTTCTTCAACGGGGTATATCCAATAATTGTCTTAGGTGATAAAATCCTATTCACTCTTTTTAGTATGTTTTCAAGATGATTTTTATGGAGGCCTGTTCTAGCTCTAATTATGCCACTTAAAAACTTGGCAATTTTTTTTTTTTATCTACTCTGATCTTTTTTTATGTTATCGTACAAAGGCAGTTAATAGTTTTTCCAAAGCTCTGATTCCCCTATAGAAAATAAGAAAAGAAATGAAATGTCATCAATAAATCAATGTCTAAGCCAAATATAATTTTCTTAAAAGCAATTACAGTAAGAGGAAATCAGAATTTTGGTTGTTAAAAGTTTTTTTTTCAATTAATTAATTTTCAAAATGTCCTTCATCGGTGTCTGAACATGAAAGATTGTTTGATTTAGAGTTCAATTATTGTTCGCTAATGAACTTCTAGATATAATGAAAAATCTTTAAAATATAGGCCAATTGATTAATACTTAATCACGAAGCTGTATCAGGGATTTTTCGACGTAAAATTTCCGACGTGTTAAGTATAGCTTGTCTTGTGTAGCTGGCGCTGTAATCAGTGTTGCGTCAAGTCAATATGTCTGCGCCCATGTGAGACGTTTCTTCAACAAAATGTGAGAAGTTCTCCTGGTATGGTGATTATTACGTGAAAAGCCCGATTACCAGGAAGAAGCCGTGCCTTCCATAAAGCCTATGTCTGTCGAAAGGTCAGTACGTCGTAACATATCTATAACGAACTACATGTATTCACGTCAGTCTCATCGTGTTTTGCTACGGACCAACCGTTCGGGGTAGGAAAGTTTTAAAATGCGCATATAAATACATGAAGGAAAGCATTGTAAGCTTACATTACCAACACAAGAAAGCGTATGTTACTAACGGTCTCTTGTATTGGTAACATAAGCTTACAATATTTACCATTACTGAGTTGGTACAGTCTGGTCAAAGTGGTTAAGTTGAAGCTGAAAATCTTCAAGTCCCCTCCACGAGCCTAAATAATTAATTAATTAATAAACCCCTAAAGTATCACCTTCTCGACTGAGCTCAAATCAAAGGATTGATCAAAAATGCCATTAGTCCATAAGGTCTGACTGGAGAATATATTTAGAAATGAACATGTTATTCAATTTTTGCGAGTATAAAATATCTGTACTGCAGTAGTGTTATATGATCTCCAAATATCCTAGAGTGATTTCTTCTGGGTCTGTCAACTTCACATTTCTTGCCAATATGCCATGATTTGAGGATTTAGAATGGAACTTTTTTCCTGCCAATGTGGTGAGTTGTCCAGCCAATGGAAGCTGTCAAATTAACAACTATTCTCTGGTAACTTTTACCGAAAGTATCCTAAGAAAGCTAGGAGAGGGCGAGTGAGTGAGAAGTCAAATCAGTTCGTCAAAAATGCCAAGGTTGAGTTAGCTTTATTACTGGCAATATAGACTTTCCTAAATGGTTAGAAGTTGTTTTGAAAGGACAAAGAGTTATTATTTTTACTGACTTAAGAAAATTTAGCACATGTAGTGTGGTTAATTGCCTTCAGTATACGTTTATTACTTTATACATGTACTTCCTTTAGCAAAATTTATAAAAAGAAAATGGAAACGCTTTAAACTGTATCGAGGGACACTTTGTAGACAACATATGCAATTTACTTTACTAAAACGGACTCCTTATACTCCCAGTACTTTATAGAAACATAATTAAACACACAAATATTTTTAGCATTGGCAACAGGTATTTTTACAGACTCAATAAAGATGGCATCTAATGACCAGACTCCAAACAGCAGTGATCTCCCAAGAGGGTTGATAGGGAGGACGGGAACTCCAACTGCCAAGGGGGTCAGGTAGGTCTGTTTTTTGTTAAAACTTGTAACATTTAAAGCCAGCTCTACTAGTGATTTATCTGTGGATTTTTCCCAAGTCATGCTAATGAAACTGTCATCTTTTCTTTAATTGATATTCATAATTTGCAGTGCCATCTTTAACATTTATTGCCATGATTATCTATTTTTTAGGTTGCCATCACTTAGAGCTCCCAGGGATTTGACTCTTGGAGGTGTAAAGAAGAAGACATTTGCTCCCAATATTCCAGTGAGAAAAGACAGAAGCAAGGAAAGGTATACTGGAGTCCCGGTTATTATTGAACATATACACGGGACATGAATTGGCATAATTAAAACATAAGTAGCAAGGACACTTATCAAACATTTAGATTATTCATCACTTTCTTAAGGGGTCAGTTTTATATTGACATTTTGTTACAAGAATGAGGTGTTCAAGTCTCCTTAATAAATGTCAATGTGTTTTGATGTTTATTGACCATATTGCTAGCTTTAATGTTTTATATTGACATTTTGTTACAAGAATGAGGTGTTCAAGTCTCCTTAATAAATGTCAATGTGTTTTGATGTTTATTGACCATATTGCTAGCTTTAATGTTTTATCACTTGCCAATTTGACAGTAATGCATGTGCATATCTTGATTCATCTCAATAGACCTGTTTGCCAAATATATTATTTTCTTTCATTTAGTATTTATAAAACATTTTTTCATGCAATCTTTAAGTTGGTTTATAGTCAGATTATCAAGCAGGTCTTATTTTCATCATTGCAGAAGTACAGGTGAAACTCCAGAACCTAAGCCTAGTCCTGGTAGTACAAGGAAAGATAGAGGAGGGGGAGATGGAGCTCGGGGAAGAGGGAGAGGACGAGGAAGGGGTAGGGGAAGAGGCAGAGGAGAGGTTTTGCAGTCCCATTCAATTTTTGAACAAGGACCTACAGAAAGGCTGCAAGCAAGAGGTTTGTACATTTATATTTTATCTATTAAGCCAAATGTTAAGCACATTAAAAATTGGTAATAAAGATGTAAAATATTGCACTACTTTTTGCAGATTTTTTCTTGATTCAATTTAATTTTTTTAGGCTCAAATTATCTAGCACTTCAGCCATAAGAAGTTTGATCCTAGAGCTAGTCCAGTAAAGAAAAAAAGGCTTATCTAATATCAGAACTTATTAGTACGTATATTTTGGAGAATAAGATTAGGTTTGTTATAGCAGATATTTCAAATCTGTTCAGGGTCATCAGGCTACACTGAGACGAGAGAGAGAGGGGATTCCTCAACATCTAAACTTTCTGTGAAGAGGGAGAAGACAGAAAATGAAGACACCAAAAGAATACTGGATAACTTGCTTCGAGATGATGTAAGAAGTCTTGAAAATAAATTTTTTGAAAATATATTAAGCAATGCATTAAACAATTTTAATGTCAGTTTTCATTTTTTTTATTTAGTTTAGAAGAGATTATATATTAAGGTTTAATTTACGTATCCATGTTACCTTAAAATGGCACTTAGCAATGAAAGTTGTAGATGAATTTTGTCAAAATTTCTATTTTGTTTATTTTTTTCAGTTTATAGATTTTGGTGACATGTCAGGTGCTGACGAGGGACTTAATCCAGTGGCCTTACCTCTGGCAACCTCAGTGAAAAAAGAACCACAGTTGGAAACAGATGCAATAAAATGTAAGAATTTTTAAATAATATGTGTATTAGTTATGTGAAGAGTTGCTTCTGGAAGGACATATTGCTTGTATAGAAGACCTTGCACAGATGCATGTTATTTGTTTAGATTATAAAAATACTTCAAAGTTTTAAAAACTTTCTTAAATTTTTTTCAATAGTTTATCATTTCTGTATAATACAGCTGAGCCAATGGAGGTGGACGAGGAGGATAAGACAAACATTCCAACTGTGTCTTCAAAGCCTGTTAAGCAGGTGCCGCAGAAGCCAAAACCAGTAGAAAAAGAAAAAACCTGTTCAGAAATATTTGCTAAAGCTGAAAAATCAGGTATTGATGGAAAATAGAGTGTCTCCTTATTGTTTTCTGATTGTGATTTTGGTAGTGTTTGATTTGCAAATTCATAAACTCATTTGAATTTGAGCATATTTAAGTAAGAATAGTCATGATAAGAATTGTATATATTAGATTGAAAATGTGTTTATTTCCTCTTTCCTGTAGAGACAGGCCAGCTGTTATTTTTCCACCTGCCTGACTCTCTGCCCGGTGTTCCCCCACCCAGGGAGGAGGCAGAGGTCAAGGGAAAAGAGGGGGCTTCGTCCACCAAAATGGACACGGATGAGGTGGGTTCTTTAAATTAGCTTGCTTTCAACTTGAGAAGAGCAAGTATACATCATACTTTAGCAGAGTGCACAAACTTGGCCCTTTGAATGAAAATACTCTCTTTTGATGAAGTACTTGAACTTTTCCACTTTTTTTAAGGCCAAGTTATGTGATCAAATGGGAAAATCCAGCCTTCGGGACTTTTCAGAAGGTTACATTGGGAAACTACAGGTGTTGAAGTCAGGAAAAACGAGATTAATGCTGGGAAATGTCACTCTTGATGTTGCCATGGGAACACCATGTGGCTTTTTGCAGGTAATTTGCTGTAAGATAAATTACTTGGGGCAGTTCCTCGGAAACCAGACCAATCTTTATTCGTTTTTTATTTGATAAACCCAGATGTACTGTTTAAACATTTCTGTAGAAATTTAAGTAGAAATTTAATCATTACAATAAAATTTTTTCATAAATATATAAATCTTTCCTTTCAGGACCTTGTATCAGTGAGGATAGGAGAAGACGGCACCGGAGACATGACGGTTTTGGGACGTGTAAATGACAGACTTGTTTGTACACCAGACTTTGAAAGCCTTCTGAATTCGCAGAGCAAAAGCTGATATTAGCCGGTCGTATTTAATGATTTCATATCATAAATTGACAGGGCTGTTGAAAATAGTGTGTGGATTTCTTTTTCGCCACGCTTCAGAATATTTGCCAAATTATATTCTCATTGAAATTGTCAATTACATAATAGTTGAAACATTTTCAAAGCAGAGAAGTAGTAAGAACAGGCTCATGCAGTCATGAAGTCCACTTGTTGGCGTTACATGTGCATTGAATATATTATTTTTATCGGCAATTTTGTTTTACATGCGACAGAGAGTGAATTCAAGTGTTTTGGCATCGTTTTTTCCCGAGAGGACTTATAGTTTCTTCCCAGATAGATGAGTTTAATGTTATATCTATTGGTTATACGCCCTTTTTTATAGCTGATTTGATCTTTGATATTTGATATTCTACCAGATTTGGTTTGCCGTTAAAGGAAAAGATCAAAACGATGATCTCATAGTTTCAGAACTTTGAAAGCTGCATTGGACAATAAAGCGACAAATAAGGCGATGTTTAGAATTGTACTTTAAAGGTGCTTTGAATTGTTTTCAGTAGTCAATTCTTATCAGAACGGAGTCGGAATTGATTTGAAAAATAGTATAAGAGAAGAGGTTAATGGAGTTGACGAACCACTCCATACCTATTGTGATTTATGTAAAGAATAGTTGGACTTGACCTCTCATCCTTTTGATGCCACTTCTGTGTAAAAGAGGATGCATGACCAGTGAAGCGTTTGCCATTTTGACTGCATTGAATTTCGAACAAATTTTGTTTTTTTTCTTCGGGGCCGAGTTTTAAGGCGATATTAACCGCGGCGTGTTTAATCCTATCGCTCTGTGTTCTGGAATCAAAATGGCGAACCTTCTGCTGAGAAAATCCAGAGAATCGGTAAGTAAATGTCTAGTTTTCAGTCTGCAGACTACATGTATCCCAGGGATGTCTCTCAGGGGTTTTTCATTAGATTTTTACGTATAATTCTCTGGTCATTCTGTGCACATTTCTGTCCAGCGGGAAAATTAAAAGTCATCACCCAAATGACCTCTGGCGGAGAATAAATATACATGTGCACCCTTGGTCTGGTCCTTGTTTCTGTCAATACCAAGACGTCTCAAATGTGGTGCAAGTCATTTAATGATTAACAGGGGGAGTTATTGGTGCGATATACTCTCATTAGGTTTGGTCGCCTTAAACAATCGACTTCTTCAGGTCTTTTTTCTTTTTCAATTTGGTCAAACGATATGTTTTCCAGCAACGATTCCCCGTGCACAATCTCTATCTTTTATCGTTATTATCCCTTTATTGCCTTTTTGGAATCGATGCAATTTTACATACATCGCAAATATGTATAGATATTTATAGATAGTGAAGTTACCTTTATCAGTTCTTTCTGGCCAATATCGGTACGTTCAAATCTCTGTGACGCATCGGAAACCATTGAAATAAATATTGTAGAAGATTCGAAGATTCAAGGGTAAATGCACTTTCAAAAATCATACAACGGACCAAGAGAGTTGGAAAAAAAAAGCCCGGCAACGTGTCGTCACGCGTGGAGGATTTTAAATGCAGTTTCATGTTACCCAATGCCAATACAATGAGCAACTCGTGCTAAAATCATTTTTCATTTTAAACGACCCAAAACTGTCGCTTTACGACTTGCGTCTTACCCCTTGCAGAGAAAATGACAACCGTTATCATGACCTTATCCCCTAGACAATTTGGGTTCAAACAAATCAAGTGATTCTTAAATAGCTTGTTGAAAGACGATTTTTCCTAGTCAAAATGGTAAAACGATAAACCCTGGGTACACTTTTGAGATTCTGATCCTTCAGTGAACATACATTATGATAGAAAGAAAAGTGCACGCATCTGTTCCATAGATATTTATTATTCTTCGCCTGAGTTACGGACTCCGTTTCTAGTTGAGAGGGATCTTCTTCCGGCTTACCGAAGGGATCCTTTGATAACAAAAACGCCTTCATATTTGCAGTATCGATATTGAAGCGTGGAACAGGATGACACTTAAGCAAACAAAGGTAAGAGCGAAAGGAGGAATCGGGGTTTGTGTGTGTGTGTTGCTTTTTTTTTTCTAATTTACGATTCACGAAAGTATGGAAAATGATATAAGCCATTTCTCTCCATCTTTCATTCAGGTTAGCTATGACGAGCAGTGTGAAGTGATGTTGATTCAGTAAGTATTGGACTCGTTTTGTAGAAAAATGTTTTTTAGTATTAGAGGGTTTAGACGATGACAAATCTTATTAAATTTCTATTACATTACATGGCTATTGATTCTTGTTCTAAAATGGGACTATATGTATAAAACAAGGCAGATGCGTTCCAGATTTAGATTTAACCATTTTTGTCTTTGTTAAAACATTTTAGGTTGTATGAACGGGTGCGTTATGTCAGATACGGTGAAAAACTTAATTTTACTCCTTCCGAACGCACGTCACTCCGACTAAGCTGGAATGCCTGGATCGGAGGAAATCCGTCTCAAAGGGGATTTCAAATGTTCCTAAGGTATACATTAGTTTCTCAAGTTTTTTTTTATTATTATGAAAATAAGACTTTCATACAAAAGTATACGTTTTGTTTTATTTGCATATGATGTACATACTATTTCGAGGGACTGTCAAGTCACCATGGGAACCTAGTATACATTACATAATAGTTGGCAAATGTCGGATAGAATATGTCTGAAAAGTTTCGCTTTTGGTTTTTCATTTTACCACTTTCACCTGGATCTGACGTCAATGTGTTACAGAATGTTCAAAAGTCATCCCGAAACCCAACTTGCCTTTGAGTTTGCGAAGGGCTCTTCTCTGGCTTATCTCCAGAACAGCTCGCGCCTACTGTTTCATGTGAACAGGGTGGTGAAGTACATAGGCAAAGTTATTGAAAATCTGGATTCCCCTGAAGAGGTTGTGCCTGTTTTGCTGCAGTTGGGCGCAATGCATGGACCTCGCAGATTCAATGTGCCGTCAGGATATTTCCCGGTACGAAATCTCAACTAGCACAATTTTGATTGTGTGTACGCGTCCATTGCAACGGTTGTCACTTCGTATTACCTCTTCTCTTCAAAACACGTTTAAAAGATTTTTCAGGCAACATATTTAAGGTTACATCATATAGCCAATTTGCCAAGACGATGAAATTTGACTGCGTAATCTGGATATTTGTATTGATGGAACATCATTCAAATCAAAACTAACGCGTTTTCACCCCCCCCCCCCCCGGGTTTTGTTGGTTTCCAAAACAGTTGTCCAGTGTTAAAATGTTTCACACTAGTATAGAAATAATAATACAACAGTGCAAGACAAACCTTTGTTAAAATGGTCATAATGACTCGAGAACAGTTGCCGTCACTGATAGTTTCTTTCCACAAATTTTACAGCATCTTGGAGTAGCTATGCGGGAACTTATGAGAGAGTCGCTTGGAAACTGGACGGAAGACCTCAACAAATTATGGGACGAATTGTACCAGTGGATAATCCAACGTCTTATAGAGGGACAGCAGAGGGTAGAAAGCTAACCACTAGAAACTAATTTCAGCAGACGATAAATTAGGAACACTCGAAATCCAGATTTAAAGCCCCAGCAGCAAAATATGAATACAAATAGATGAAAAATTTTACAAAATTTATTGGATATACAGTTGAACTATTTTACAATCTACAGTGTCAATATGAATGAATAATAAAAATGGATGTATTTCCTTTTTTGCTAGTTTTCCTAATCCTCACAGATACAGTCAACATACCTAGGGAAAAAAGACACGAACATGACATAGAACATCTAAATAATAAAATGAGACTAAAACGTCAGAGTCATCTACTCTCAGTCCATCCTTTCTCACAAAATCATTTTCAATGCCTGATACACTGTTTCATTTTGGTACTAATTTAAAAGGAATGTCATTTGTTCCACAAGCATTGAAAAGGCTTGGTGATGCCCCCATGAACTGTCAGCCTCTCCCCTCTCCACTATCTGTGCACCGAGACCAGACCATGGATATGTACAAGGGAGTGTGCATGTTATAGTAGATTATGGCTGCCTAGACACTATGAGGCTTTCTGGGATCCCTTCTTTCCAATCAACGACTTGTGGATGTGAGGGATGACACCTGGAAGAGAAAATCAAGAAATAATGTACACAAATTGTAGAGCAAAATCAGAAACTTTTCAAACAACACCAAGTCCAACAACCATATCAGTGTTTACAACCTTGTAGGTAAAGTGTCCCTCTTATATAATATTGATAACAGGTCATAACACTTACCACCACCAGCTATGGTTGCCTTGATGAGTGAATCCAACTCTTCATCACCACGAATGGCCAACTGCAAGTGACGGGGTGTGATACGCTTCACTTTAAGATCTTTACTAGCATTGCCTGCCAACTCTAACACCTGAAATACATCAGAAATTACTTAAACCCCAGGTTTAAAACTTGCCTTCACTTCTAATAGAGACTACAACCCTCCACAAGAAAAGGTAAGAAAAACCAAATGCACATCTTGCCCATTGTTAAAAGCTTTTGAAACCAAATGTATTCATGTGACAAGAATGCAACGACAAGCCATAATCAAAATACTACAAAATCAGCTACACATTGTCCAGACATTTCTGCTGTATGTGCGATACGTGAACACCACATTAAATGGGCACCCTAACTTCCAAATAGAGGAATTACACTTTGTTATAGTAGAGACTAGAGCAGACAAACTAGACACCTACTTCTGCTGTGAGGTATTCTAGGATGGCTGCACTGTAGACAGCGGCAGTGGCTCCTACCCTCCCGTGGCTGGTTGTCCTGTTCTTCAGATGTCTGTGGATACGGCCCACTGGGAACTGCAAAGAAAAAAATGTTATTATGAGGAGTATTCATTCTGAGATCACTGCAGTTCAGTTAATTTTTACCAAATACTAACGCTGCCATAATTTAAGGGAGCAAGCAATGGGGAGGGGAGGGGGTACATAGTTCAAAATTGCATTGCTATTTTATATATACCAGAAAATTATCACCAAATGTGCCAAGCATTGTTAAGGGATTTTAACCAGTCATAATGCTGCAATGTGCAAAATTTGTTGCATCACTTTTCATCAGACATTAAATACAATGTAAGTTTTAAATTTGTTATACGAAGAGAACAGTGAACGTAAATAATTACTGAAACTGTGCACATTACACAATTTAACAGATGTACCAGACTGAAGTAAAACAGAACAAATAACACAAATAAAACTTCAAAAATAACATCAATTAATGACAAACAGGGATTCTAAAAAATTTATAACATGCCAGGCATTACAATACATCCTATCTGTCTATTAAATATTAAATCCTGTCTATTGATCAATTTGGTAAAAAATTATTTCAATTCATCAAGATGAAATAGAAGTTGCCAGTTTTATCTATAGTTGCTATGTTAATTTGGATATAAACAAAAGAAAAGAATCCTATTGAGATTTACAACCCTCCTGTTAGAAATACTTTGAAGGTATAAACACTCAAACGTCGTGAATTAACTAAAAAATTGCTAGGTAGAATAATGGGGCTTATAACATCAACCGCAGAAACCTCATTCATTATTAGGTCAAAACACAGAACTACCCAAAGAAAACTAGGTCAAAATGCCGACTGGCTACATATACATTAAATCTGTAAAATCTTTCAAGGATCTTGTGTAGTAAAGGCCTACTATACACCCTTAGTAATATGCAATATATTTGATGATCATCTCACAAGAGGAAGCAAGTGAAAACAAAGAAATGAAATGTAAACAATGAGAAGCCCGCCAAATTTTGAACTACGATTGTCAAAATTCATGTCCATTTCTTGAATGTTATGAAGTCTATTGATCATGTCAGTGCCAAAAGGGTTTATATGATAATATCGCAACTCTACCTGTAGTCCTGCTCTTGCTGAACGGGAAACGGCCTTCGCCTTAGCCTTTCCAGAATCTTTACCTGCTTTACCGCCAGCCTACATAAGGAAATAAATATTGCTTTATTTTGAAATTATAGTAGACACAATGACAAATTAAGGATAAAAATTATCACAATTGTTTGCTTTTTTAAAATGCATAAATCTGCAATAATGATGGTGTCTAAAAACGTACGATTTTTACAGATACTTTACCATTTCGTTTGTGTATACGTCCTACAGCCTTGAACGTAGCCGCTACAATGGAGGGAAAGCGTGGGTCACGTGACAATGTTTTGAACTGATGACGTAGTTCAAATCATCCTATCAGATGAAAGAACTGAAACGAGTGATGACATCTAGCGCGAGAAAAAGGAAAGTTTCCATAAATAGTACTACGTCTGCGGTTTCAGTCTCGTAATGGTTTGTTTTTATTTTGTCTGCCGTGATATCTGCTTTTCCTATCAATCAGATAATCTACAATTAGACAAAACGTACATCACCTAACTTGAACATTTTAATTGACTCTTTGGTCTTCATCTTGAAAAGTGTTTCGAATTTTTCGCTTGTTTGACATTAGAACATCCCCTGACCCCGAGTTGCAGTGCCCCCTCTATGCGATTTGTCTATTGCATTCACTATTAATGAAGACAGGTAAGAAAAACCATATTGGTTTGAGGTAGGCTACCATCATAAATCATTACTTTAAAGCTAAATAAAACTATCCCAACATGTTTCTTTTGTTTTCAATTCTAATTCTGCATAAATTTATTGTTATCTCTATAGGGCCTACTCAGTAGCCTATACTCAGCACGCTCGGCTGTCACCTTGATTGGATAGTAAACGGTTGTCGTAAAATCGCTAAAAGATATTAAAACCCGGTGCATAAACTTGAAAACCACCTAGGACAACCTTAGACTGCCACATTAATCCAATACAATGCAAAAATAAACTATAAAAAGTGGTTAAAGCCTTCAAACCGAATGTCGTAAAGTCCCCATATACCTCCATAGAGACAATAAAATATAATAAGCTTCTGAAACAAGAAAAATCCAGTTCCAACATAATAATCGAAATAAAATACTGCCGGGCATCGGAGCGGCCTAAAACTTGGCACGCTTACCGCTAATACTGCAGGCTACATCATCCCGTCGCTCGTTTGTAAATTCCGTGCATGGCATACGCACAATCAAACCGTAAAAAACAAATTCTCGGGGTGTCGTTGGCCAGGTCCACTCTAACCTACCATTACGAAAAAGAAGCCATGCCATTGGACAATGCGACCTCTGCGGTTACGTCATTTCCTGAATTGGATTGTTGAGTGGACCTAGCCAACGACACCCCGAGAATTTGTTTTTTTACGGTTTGATTGTGCGTATGCCATGCACGGAATTTACAAACGAGCGACGGGATGATGTAGCCTGCAGTATTAGCGGTAAGCGTGCCAAGTTTTAGGCCGCTCCGATGCCCGGCAGTATTTTATTTCGATTATTATGTTGGAACTGGATTTATCTTGTTTCAGAAGCTTACTATATTTTATTGTCTCTATGGAGGTATATGGGGACTTTACGACATTCGGTTTGAAGGCTTTAACCACTTTTTATAGTTTATTTTTGCATTGTATTGGATTAATGTGGCAGTCTAAGGTTGTCCTAGGTGGTTTTCAAGTTTATGCACCGGGTTTTAATATCTTTTAGCGATTTTACGACAACCGTTTACTATCCAATCAAGGTGACAGCCGAGCGTGATACTCAGTATGTCGGGGACATTTAAATTTTGTTAACCTCACGTAATGTCTTTGTTTGTAGTCCGCAATACCTTATAATACTGTGTTAAGTCTAAAGAGCCTAAGTAGGCTTGTTGATCAATCTGATTAAGAAGTTAAGTTGAAGAATCCTGTCTTGGTTTGATATTAAAGAGTGGGACTCCCAACAAATGGGTAGAAATGTAGGCCTACCTGAGCAAGCAACGAGTGAACTTTAAATGAACTGGTTTTTGTTGTCAACGTTGAATTTCCTCATAGTGATTGACACGTAAATATTTTGACCACGAATCTTGAAAGCAGTATTATATAACGCGTTGTCCAACCAACGGTGTCCGTATTTCGAGGCTGTTTGTATTTTAATTCATTGTTTTTGCGCAGCTTCGGACATCTACTAGTAGTAAGGTAAGGGCCTATTAATGTATCTCCGAGCTTGATGGAATCTAAACGGTAATCTATCACAAAAATTAAATGATTTGATTTGGGGAAAAATGAATAATAATTACATACATTGATAGTTATTTATTTGCCCTATAAGATCATTCACTTTTCAGTTAACAAACAGTCTGAACAGTCAAATAGCATAAACAGACAACGTTTGCATTTGTTATTATTAAAAGCTGGCTAAATAACCATTATAAATACCTGTGACTTTATAATTAAGATGTCTTTGGTATTCCCATCTTAACATTGTTAAAAAATATTGAAAATAATTAATTATATCCAGGGGCGGATCCAGGATTATTTGAAGGGGAGGTCCGCGGATGTGAAGCCCCCCCTCCCCCCCCCCCACCCCCCCGGCGTGTGGTGAAATTTTTTTAGAGGGTGAACAGTTCCATTTGTACTATGATTTAGATAGTCAAAATTCTAAATTCAAAAATAGCAGGGGGTTTACCCCCCAGACACCCCTTCTAAATCCGCCACTGATATCACTCTTCCGAAAGGGCCACATCACTTTACTCGTTTGATCAAAACCCCGCTGGGGTAGATTACTCTCTGAGCAAAGGACGCTCTAGTAGTCTATTACAAAATTATTGTATCGATGATACTTAAATGTTTACTATCTTAGAAGTCCCTGATATCAGAGGGTAGGGAAAGAGAGAACATATTTAAAGCGTCCTCCCACTGTGCATAATTACGTTGTTTTTCAGGTAATTGTACCCCAACGAGTTCTACCACCCGTCAATTACCTTAACAAGTCAAACTGATGACAGCTGAAAGAACCAAAGTTTAGGAAAATAATCAGACGATGAATTGGATCTTTATCAAAAGGAACAACCCTGGGTTGCAACTCGCTCAGGCGTTAGAACCGAAGGGGGTGGGGGGTACCCTCTACCAGGGTGGCAGATATTGTAGGGAAATTTTTCTAAAGCCAGCAGAGAACAAAATGACCGTCTATTTTAATTTATTTTATCTAAAGACATCTGTAAAAATCTTGTGAAAAATCAACCTGTCGCCCTGGTAGAGGGTGTGGGTGGGGTGTGTGTGTGTGTGTGTGTGTGTGGGGGGGCTGGGGGGATC